CCCGCATGTGCCTTTTTATTATTTACAGATAAATAAATAAAAAGCTCTTAACATTTCCCAAATTTTGTGATAATGTCTTAATAATATTAAATAAATTTAATTCAAAATATATTTAAAGTGTTACATAAATGTATATACATTTGCAAGATTTTTGTAGCAATAATATATTCTTATGCTAAAAAATAAACACTATTCAAATAGTTAAGCAATTAGATAACTTGAAAATAATTATTTGTAAAATGTTTTCTCTATGTTGTTTTATTTCATTTTAGTTTTTTTCTCCCTCTCAAAAATAGAGCGAAAGTTGCATAAAGCACAAGTGGAGATTAGTTTTTACACCTTTGGCAAGGCAACGTGAAACGGTGGGGGCAGGAAGGGGAGCGGCACCTGACCGCCCGCATAAATCAAGCCGGAAAGTAGCCAAAGTGGGCGTGGCGTGGCATGGCGTGGCGATGGGCGCACAAATATGATATCAAGTGCAGGCGGCGTTGCTGGCGCTCTCGCAAATCGTGCGTTAAAACTTTGCACAAAGTTTTTAGAGTAAAATCTCACGCGCTGCGTTCCGGAAAGGAAGAAGAATTTGTTTTTGGGGGGAGCGCGGGAGGGGCACAAGGAGAGCTGGAGCGTGGGCTAGGCGGGTTTTCAGATGCGGGCTCTGTTCAGCCGGCTGGCAGACCCACAAAAGTATGCCAAGCTGTAAAAACCATTGCTAATGGACTTTTGGTAGGCAGGCAGTGTGAATGGGCGAGAGCGAGGGCGAGGCAGAGGCGGATGCAGAGGCAGAGGGATGTGGCCGACTGAATCCTTAGCCAACTGTCGTCGTCGACGCCTTTTGCCTGGGCGACGAAATCTGCCGTTGACATTTGGCAGTTGGAGTTTGGATTTTGTGCAACTGGACGGCAAAAGTTGGGGCACAGAATCCCAGTTACAGCCGGCAGCTTATTTAAATTACAATAAGACGGCTGAGTCGACGACGACTACGACGACTACGACGACGGCAACGACAACGGCCAACTCGACTCAATGGAGGCGAACGCCTGAGTCTGGCAAACAACTTGGCCAAGTTGTAAATTGAAGTTCGAGCCAAAGGCAGAGGCAAGGGCAAAGGCAGAAGAATCGAGGACTAAGTCTGCCTGAGCCAGAGCCAGAGCCAGAGCCCGTGGAGCAGCAGATCGCTGTTAAGCATTTACGCCGTGCGATTGCCCTTTTGGCTGTGATTTTGCCAGGGATTGTCATGGTAATGCTAATGGATGCTTGTGCCATTTTACGTGCTTATAGATCTGGGCCAATTTAATTTAATGAACCGCCTCATTCAAATTATGAAAGCTGCCTAAATATGCACACACATACACACTCACACAAACAGCAATATAACAAAAGGCACAATTTGCATACGCTCACTGTCGAGGGATATGTTGACTGGCTAATCCAAGTTGTAACTATGAAATAAATGTAAGGAAATATATAAGAAATGCATAATATGAGAAATGTAAGGAAAAGAAACTTAAAAGTTATACTAAATTGGCAAACTTAAAGGCAATCTAATAACTTTATTTGTTAAAGATTATATGCATATAAATAAGTAAATGATGAACAAAAGTGCTAAAATGCATATATAATATATATATAATAAAAAAGATATTAAATATGTATGAAACTGCCAGCGAATACATTAAAATAATAGTCATAAAAAATAATAAACTTAAAAAATAAAATAAATAATAATTGTATACATTTAAAAATAATTTATTTGGTATATACATATGTATACATATATTTTAGTATATTTATTTATTACTTCATTTCCTTATTTATATCATTAACTTTAGCCTATTAACAGGCTTATATTATTCGGCTGAGTAAATTCTACAACTATAAATTGCTTATATTAAAATAAATTTAACAAACATTCTTTAAAATGAGAGCCTGTCATTAAATTGGGTTTAATGTAAGACACATATTTCACATTTATGAGTTACGAAAGCTTCATTGGGTGCTTAGTGGTATTAACTCCTAATTTATAGCCGTGATTAGAAGACATCCATTAGCTGACTGCTTCAAGGAGTCATTAATGTTTTTTTTTTTTTTTTTTTAGCAATATTTACAGGAAAAATTTACAAATGAATACTTTGTATAATATGTATATTTGTGAGCTAAAATATTAAAAAACAATTGCATACAAAATAATTTTTAATTCACGACTTTGAGTTGAATTTAAAATTCTGTGCTTACTGAAAACTAATTAAATTAATATTAAATTAATCACATTTGATGAAGCCAATATAATAAATTAAATTAAAGATACATAACTCCTAAGCAAAAACTTTCTTAACATTAATAAATTAT